CCAAGAGAGAGAAAAGAATGTGCGTGAGACATGCCCACGGAGCAAGAAAACAAAATGTGTTTAACACCCACCAACCCACACACAGACACTCAGTGCGCCATGATCGCAGAGGCGGCCACGACGGCCAACACAAAAGGCATCAAAGCGGAGGCAGCAGCACCACCATCAGCATTCAGCTTGAGATCAAGGTTCGTGCTGTGTGCTGTCACGGTCTCCTGTCCTTCAACAGAAGCACTGGGAGTAGTGTCAGAATTGCTGTTAGACGTTGGTGACGTTTCTGTTGCAGCTCTGACCGTAGGGGAGGTGGCCTGATGGTGGCTAGCACTGGTCGTAAGCGCACTGTTGTTTTCTGATTCACCAGTGACAGCTTCCCTCGGCGACACCGAGGAGCTCGTAACAGAAGACAGCACCTCTCTGTCGGTCGCATCATTTGTGTTGTCTGCTGAATTACCTGTGACCTGGTTGGCCGTCGCCTGCTGAGGCTGAGCAGTCTCGGGATCCCCCGTGCGGCTTGGGACATTTGTGTTGTCGACAGTGGCATCTGTGTTAGCGACGGTGGCATCTGTGTTAGCGACGGTGACATCGTTGCTTTGGGTGGCCTGTGCAACTTGAGGTTGATTCTCCTCCTGTTTTGCAGGCATTGGGTCCTCAATGTCCCGTTCTCCAGCCATGCTGATCCGCACGGCGGAAACGTCGAAAACAAACTGTGCCGCGCTGCCCTCAGTCTCCGGCGGCAGCATGGTGGTGCACACGTCCTCGTACCGCGGGCAAGTGATGTTACCGTTCCCATTGAACTTACCGTCCACCTTCAGGAACCCCCCCTCCGGGCACAAGGAATACGTGGGGGCACCAGCGTACTGCACATACACCGACCTCTCCTTGCACGTTACGTGCACGCAGACGTCGCCAACCTCGTTTCCCAAGACAGTCAGATCGTTGCCCTTCACACACCGCGAGTTCTCACCGACCAGACTCCCCGGCATGTTGTTCTGGTTGCCATCTACACAGCTGTAGCCTTTGCTTGCGACAATAATGGGGCAGTAGTCCATCATGTCCTCCCGCCTTCCACCAAGAATCTTGCCACCATCCCTCGGGGTTTTGAAGTAGCTGTATATATCAGGAAGGTTTTCGTACTCTTTAGTAGCACACTTCCCCAACGCCTGACGGTCAGACGTGCACCGCAGCATAGCATCATCAGGTTTTTCGCAGAACATGCTGGGGTACTTAGACGCACCATCCTCAGCACACTTCCTTTTCTGTAAAAACTCGCATTCAGCACCTTTTCCCCAGCTCATCGGCTCCGCCTTCGCCCAATCGACCTGATAATACCCCAGATCAGCGAACGCTGAAAGTGTCAGTCCTGTGTAGTATCCAGCGCCAACAAGACCTGCCATCAACTCGTCCTTCGCAACGAGGCGCTTCCAGTGGGAACTCACACCAAACTTTGTGGACAACTCCCACTCAGCCCATTTACTCCCTCGTTTCTTCCACTTGCTCTCGTCAAGAGACTCTATTTCTGTTCTTCCATTAGAAAGAGTCGACAACAAATTAAAAGCACTATTTTGCGGCACTTCCGCTGGCTGCCCATCTGCTGTCCACGTCATACTGTCCTCCATCTCCATGCCATAAAAGTTCTTGCATTTGTAGTGATACGATCCCCATAATTTTATCTTCGCCGCATCAAAAACAAAGACCTTCTTTTTGCGGGCGATCTTGGCCGTCACTCCGCCCTTCCCATTCTTCTTCGCTTCTTTATGCATGGTCTCCACGTTGAACCCAAGGGTGTGCGCAATCTCGTGTGCGGCGACGCGGACGGCCTGTGACGTGCGTGCGATGTGGCGCGGGCTGTAGTTGATCACGCCAATCAGCGGCCGCCCATTGGGGTGCACCGCGCACGTCGCCGCCCACGCAAAGGCGCCATCAGCGGTCGGCGCAGCAGTGGCGTACAGCACCATGTCGACGTCGTCAACACCCTCAGTGTGGTGCTCTTCAGGGATGTTCAGCTCACCGCAGGGATTGTTATCGTTGAAGTTCGGGGCAACAACACGGTACTGTGATGGCTTCACGTACAGGCGGCCAGAGTGCAGCTTCACAGCCTCGGGGAGGATCGTGTGCTCCAGAATCTTCTTCTTCTCCTCTGTAAGGACATCATTCGCGGTGCAGCTCATTGTGTTCCCGAAAATATTTACGTGCTTATCCCCTTCATTAGTGCAGTTGTGACCCTTCATCGGATCCACCATGAACACCTTGATACGGAGAGGTCTGTAACCCGCCTCTGGCAACGCGAGCCGATTGTTTCTCGTAGAATTGGGAAGCTTGAAGTCCGTTTTTATCATATAACGAGTTGAATCAGCCAATACAGTTTGCATCGGAGTGCTCGCAATAGGTGTCACTGTCTGAACACCAGGCAGTTTATTAGATACGTAGTCGTAGATGCAGCGGTGGTGCTCCGACACTGCGAGAGTGCTGCCGGCGCAGTGCACAAGGAGCA